CGCGAAACTCCCGCGTTGCCAAGGTTAACTTTTTGACGTGTTTATAAGGTAACATTTGTACAAGTGTCAGGAGCTGTGACTGCCTTAGTACTCTTTTTCAAGTTTGTCTCCACTGCCGGGAACGTCATTTGTGCAGAATTAATCTCAGCTCTTTCTTCCCGCAGTTAAAGTGAAACGTGTTCCAGTCGTCAGTGTTTTCAGGTTTCCTTCCTTCCCATTTCCGTCCCCAAATACTCACTAGATTGTAAGTCAAAGGTGTGTACAGTGAATTTGTGTTTGTCTTCTTTAATACTAATAATTTTTTTTTGCTTAGAAAAATATCGTAACTCTTCGTAACACAGTTCCTACAGACTTCTCCCAGCTTCATCTTCTAGCTTCCCCCACCTAGCTTTTCATTCTTTTAGTACTTTTCCCTCGGCTTAGTAATATAATTCGTTGTTAAGCGTTGCTTGAAACGCACTTCCTGACATTTCTGCTTTAGATCACACAGTACTCGTTAAAAAATTACCGCTCACTTTAATCCCAGCACTCGGGAGGCAGGCGGATCTCTGTGAGTTCGAGGCCAGCCTGGGCTACAAAGTGAGTTCCAGGAAAGGCCCAAAGCTACACAGAGAAACCCTGTCTCGAAAAACAAAACAAAACAAAACAAAACAAAACAAAACAAAACAAAACAAAACAAAACAAAATTACAGCTTACAGCTAAAAACAAAACCAGAATTGTTAATCTCCCCCACAGCTGTCGGTTTTGGCATTGTCTTCAGAAGTTGGAGAAAATGACCTTATAAAGCCGAGCACGGTTGATCCTGCCTGTAGTCCCAGCAGTTGGGAAGTGGAGGCAGGAGGATGAGTTCAAGGAAAACCCCTCATACATAGCAATTAGAGGTTAGCCTTGGCTACAGGAGACCTGTCTCAAAAAGTCAAGGAGGAGAGGCAGACAAAACCAAGCAAGGACCAAACAAACCAGGTGGGACGCTGTTCCACTCTTGTAAATCGGAGGCGGAGGCTGGAAGATCAAGAGTTCGACGCCCCCCACCCCGCTCCGAACTACTTGATACCCTGTGCCAAAATAACAAAACCCCAAATAAGATAGCACCTTACAGTGTAACTCAGGACACACCGGGGATGTTAGAATACATCAGTATCCCTGAGGAGCTAGACATCCAGTGGTAGCAAGAACGTGCACGGAATAACACGTGGGAGTGGTAACGAGAGCCCTGGACGGAGCTGAGCAGACTGCTGTCCGCTCACTGCCACCCGGTCCCCGACAACCCTGGACACAGACCCTGCCGTGCCCGGGTGACACGGTGCCGTGTGGCCTCCAGGGCTGCAGGGGGCGCCCTCGGCCGCGCGACCCCGGCCAGCCGCAC